AGGGGCCTGAGAAGGGCTCAGGAAATCCCTGCAGTTGGGTAGATAATGGTGAGTTCCAGTCACTCTTGCCCCAGAAAAGCATGTTTCCCAAAGCTGTGCAGTCCCACCCTGGAGTACTGAGCTCTCTCCCTGGGTTTGGAGCTCGGAGCAGCATATGGAGCTGCCACAAACCTGCTGATTGTACCCAGAGGACAACTCAGATAATGCTGGAAGAGGCACTGGCAGATGTTACCTGAGCCTTTAAGATCCTTTGCTGCCCGGTCCCCCCTTCTCTAACCCCTTGAGCAAGTCCCTTCTGTGCTCTGCCCTGCACAGCAGCACTGAGAAGCTTGCAAATCCTCTCTCATCTCCTTTGTTGGAGCCCAGTGTGACCAGCAAGCAGATGGGCCAATGGGACAGCGTCTCATGGATGGAGAGGGTGCTGGTTTTTAGGTTCTTGCTCTTCAGTCCTTGCCTGGCTCTGCAAGGGAGGAAGGACAGGAGCTGGAGCCCAGCAGTAGGAACTGTAAATTTGGTTTGGCAACCTGAGGAGCAGCTCGTTTCTTTCTCCTCAGCTTATGAATGGCCTCTTCTTTGAAGGTTGCAAATCTGAGCCTGGCTGATGTTTGATGAGATTCTTCTATTCCAGGGAGAAAATGATCCTATTTCCTTTGCTTTCACCATATTCCCACATCCTTGTGCCAAGCGTGTCGAGAGGTGGAGTTCCACTGGCAGGGAGAGGGAAGATGCAATGTTAGATGTTTTGCTTTTGTGATTCTCTCAGGATTTATGAACCATTACAGAATGACTCATGTGGCCACATATTTTCCATGCCTCAGCCAGGATCGTTTCCATGCTCTGTATGCAAAAAATTATCCATAATCAGGTTCAGATAGTGTGCAAATCACAGCCCCGCTTCCTATAGGCGGGTCTCTGGAGTGGAGCACAGAGAGGTTACTCATCGCTGTATCCTTCATTTTTCAGATGCTGTGTGATCTTTAGTGACTGCCTTAGATGCAGAACAGCTTGCTTGAAACTTCCAGTGCCAGAGGTTTGTCACGGCTTGTTAACATCTCTTTAAGTCGTGTGATCCTTGCCCTGTGGGGTAACAATTTGGTTTTCAAGTAATTAATTGTGCAATAGATCATCTCCTGGAAGCTGGCTCTTTTTTATTCCATGGCTCTGAACCCAAAAGATGTAATGCTGGAATACAGGCTGGGGATTTGAAAGCTCAGAGGGAGGGTAGGAACACCACCTGGCCTGTCGCATTTATCTTTAAGGCTTGGAAGAGCAAACTGTGGTAGGGAAATGATGGGACTCTGTTCCAGCAGCTCCAGTGGGTTCCTGAGCTAAGGGCAGCAGGTGAGAGGACAGAAATCTCAGGGCAGGGAGTACCTGCCCCAGGCTGAGCTTGGGTTTGAGATGGAGACATGAGAGGCAGCAGCTCTGGCTTGGCACCAGCAGCACAAGGCATTTCCACCCTCACATTTTCCATGGATGTGGAGCTGACTCTGCCAGTCCCACCACTTGTTGTGCAGCATCTGAGCCCTCAGAGCCACAGGGCACAGAAACACCCACTGACTGCTGAAATGGAAATGCTGGTCCCCTGGCCCAGGCTCCCCCACCCCAGAGATGTCTCTGCAGGCTCTGGCAAGTACCAGATGCCTTCACTCCCTGGACGCTCTTCCTGACTTTTCCAGCACACCAGTTCCCCTCCTTCTCACTGTATCAGGTCTCTGCCATCACCCTGAGACTCTCCATGGCTCCAGGGAATCTCCCTGCCTCTCTCTTCTGCTTGTCCCAGCTTTCCTGTTCCACTGGGATCCCACCCAATCTTTTCCCTTGGTTATTCCACACATTCTCCTCACCACTTGTCAGTCTTACACTGCTGTAACTTTTGAGGAGACTAAGTTTTTTCAGAACTACTCTTCTGCTTGCTCACAGTTTTCACTTCACAGTGTACATATGAAGACATTTTTCCAGGATTATTTAAAGCTTATTAACATCAGTGCAACCCACTGGATGTTCTGGAATTGCTTCTTTTGGTTCTTTCTCAGCAAAATAATGACACCAGGGTAGGAGCTGACACACCCACCATCATCATCCCTTGTCAACACCAGCTCTCAGATCAGTCTCTTTGGATTAATTCTTTAGCACAGGTCTGGTTTAGAATTGCTAGACTTTAATTTGGTCTTTAAATTGGTAGAGCATACCCTTAGTTTAATTGAGGTTGAGTTAGTTCTAATCCAGAGGAATGTCTAAAACATGAAGAAAAACTCAACTCATGTTTGCACACACTTCTAGACTCTCTCACTGATTCACAGCCCTGACTCTCTTGTGCATCACTGATATGGAAATGTTAAAAAAGTCCTGAAATATTAAATATTGAACTCAGGTACTCCCTTTAGCAATTCTGAAATCAATTGCAAAAACCATTATTCTTATCCCATCCTGCAACCCTATTTTTAAGCTGTTTGTCTGTGCCAAATCTGTCCTTCCTGAGACCTCCAACCGCTCTTGGGTGATGTCACATCCAGCCACCCCTACCCTCGAGCACAGGGAATGTCCTCTTCGTGAGAAGGCCAAGATCTCTGTGAGAACACCTGTGTAAAGTGGGCTGTGTCCTCTGAGACCCCACCACCATCATTTTAATCAAATTATTCTGTGCAATTTATGCATCAGAGGGTTGTTATTGGGAGAACAACAGTTTGTTTCCCTGTGAGGCTGCACAGAAAGCAGAGCTGCCTTTTGTTATGGCAACGGAAATGTTGGGGATGATGTAAAGGAAACTCCTATCGGCTCTGGGTCACATAGGCTTAATTTGCAAAAATCTACTCATTCATTTGTTGTGCAGAGCTCACAGGGAACATAGTTAAACGTGTTGTTACCGAGGAATTTGGGGAGGTTGAGGGAAAGGCGGGTAGAGGGTTATTTTCACAGTTGCAGTTCTGTTGCCTTAACCTGTAACAGATGTTCTTATGGATTTCAGAACTGGAATCAGGCACTTTTCCTGAGGGTTTGTTGTGTTGAGTGTGTGAGCTCCTGGGGGCCAGGCCTGGGCCAGTTTTGTGACTCAGCTCTGTGACAAAGGTGTTGCTGTAAATAAACCAAGCTGCAAGATGCTGCTGTCTGGTAGGACACAAATAACCTGAGCGGGAAGGGACTCACAAGGATCATCCACTCTGACCCTGTCCCTGCCAGGGCACCCCAACAATCCCACCCTGTCCCTCAGAGCATTGTCCAAATGTTCCTTGAGCTCTGGCAGCCTTGGGGCCATGACCACTGCCCTGGGGAGCCTGGTCAGTGTCTGACCACCCTCTGGGAAAAGAACCTTTCCCTAATATCCGTCCCAAGCCCCCTGACACAGCTCCATGCTGTTCCAATCTTTTCTTTTGAAACCTCTCTCTGCGCAGTGCAACTGTGCCACCCCATGGATTCCCCACTCCCCTCCAGCCATGGGCCTGGGTTCCAAGAGAGATTCTGGCAGCACAGATGTGGGATCCTGTGTGGGAGCTCCACTGGAGGCTACTTGCAGGAAACATATTTCCCTTTCTCCTTAGCAAGTGCTCTGCTCACACCCTCACTGAACACTGGCTGCCCCGCTGGAAACAAGCTGATACACAGACACATCAGCACATCCTACACTCTGCTCAGGAACTGCTGGAAGAGAAGCTCATCCACCTTTTCAATTGCATTTTTCTACCATTTAAAATCCAGCTTCAGGTACAAGACAATCAATTCTAGGGATTGTCAGAAAGTTTAAATTAATAGGAAAGAAATTTAAACCAGTGAGAGCTGCAGACTTTTAAAATCATTATTTTATTTTACTTGAATGTGCAAATAAATATAAAAAAAACTACATTCAAGGAGCTGGCAGAGCAATTACAAGCCCAAAAGCAAAGATCCTTCAAACAAATGGAAGAACAAACTCTTGACTCAAGGTCGTGCAGATACACAGCGGTCGAGCTGAAACCCCCAGACACGAACAAGCCCCTCTCAAACCCGCCTGTTATTCCCTTTCCATCCTTGCTACTCTCGGCTTTGAGACAATAGCACTGCAAAGGGCAAAAGTCTTGCTTAATCTGTTCAGATTATAAATTAAGGTTTACAAAATAAGGATGCTTAAAAATACCTGAAGTACACTTAAAATGGGGTGATGGATCAGGACGGTGCACAGGGCTGTTTCCCACCTCAGTACACCTGGAATCAAATGCATTTTAAGCCACAAGTTGCAACCTATTTTCCAGTAAGTAGTTTTTCTGTATCATAAAACCATAAAATTTGGCACAGTTGTCATCTCCACTGGGAGTCAGGAGAGAGGTGAGGACTGTGGTGTGTTTTGGTGAGCTGAATGGAGGCAAATGGGGGACGCTGTGCTTTGCACTGGGTTTGTCCCCCGGTTCCCCCCAACCCCTTGGTGTCTCTTGTCCCTTCCTGCAACAAGAGCAGGGGAAACTTTCAGATCCTTTCAGTAACCAAAATTTAACAGAGACTCAGACCAGGAAAACAGGAGTTCTTGATGAAAAGTCTCTGCTGGCAGTGGTTGTGCAAGTGGCCACGAATGCCAGAGGCTGGCCTCTCTGCTTCCCTCCCACAGATTATTTTGCAAAACAGACAAAGAATCAGGACAGTTTTCTATTAAATATACCCCAAAGGCCAATTTTTCTACTCTCAAGCGAAACAATTGTGAAACCAAATGTTGTACAGTGGAAATAACCCAGGACAAATCCTCCAGGCTGATCCTTAGGTCTGGCAGAAATAATAACCTAAAAATCAAAGCCACAAAAAGTATCAGGGTGGGGGGTTTTATTGCCCCAAAAGCCAGAAAAGAGTTGGAAGAAAAGCTGAAAGGAGGTTGGATATGCCTCAAGACATTATGTTTGTAATACACTCCATGGACAGTGTGCTTGCCCTTGGCCCCTGGAAAACAGGACTGAAGTCCCAGTGGGGTTGCAGGACAGACACAACTACATTTCCTTGATTTCTCACTAGATGAATTAGATGACTGATGTAGTGTTTTCTGTACAGGTCAGGGGAGGGTTTGTTAGTTTTCATGGCAGAAAAGCTTTGATAGCAGTACAGTGGAAAAGCTCATCTACGACGGCCGTGGTTGGATCTCACACCACCTAGGACAGATTTCCATGTGTCCCTGCAAATCCAGCGGCTGTGCTGAGCCAGCAGAAACAGGAGAGTTCTCAGGACACAGCTCAGCTCCAGCACACGCTGCGCTCCGGGAGCTCCATCTGCCGATGAAAGGATGCGGTACAACCCAGCGAACCTCGTGCATGCACAGGGGAGGGGAGCACCGGGAACGCTCTGGAGCTGCCGATCAACATGCAAAACACAAACCAAAAAACAGGCCAGACCTCGCAATGGATATTCCTCCCTCCTGCTGAAGAAGGCAGAGGCTACAGCAGGTCCTCAGTTCCCAAGGCAACGCCGGCCGGTGGGTCCTTGTGCCGCAAATCGCTCCCTTGCCCGGCGCTGCAGCTCAGTTTCCTCCCCTTAGTTCATGCTCCAGAATTCTTGGTTAATGAGGGAGAGTCAGAGCGTTCAGAGTGCTGGTCACCCTTGTCTCAGTTTTGGCATTTTTCCTCACCAGAGCACCAGTAACAAGAATCATCCCTTGCCTTGTTCACATGAATAACAGAGCCGCCTGGAGCGAGGCTGCTGAGCTGTGCCAGGTGCTCTCAGCCACCCTGGCACTCCTAGGTTACATTGAAGAGTTCTGCAGGCTCCAAGATGGCATAAATTCAGGAAGATGGGGAATATTAAACTCTTCAAAGTAGAAGTAGCTGCCAGCATCTGCTCAAACACCAGCTGAGCTCCATCTCTCCAACAAAGCCGCTAGCGGTAGTTCACCCCCTCACTGAGCCTTCCAGGACTGGCTGGTCAGCAGTGGCCAAAAGCCAGGAAACTACTCAGAAGTGTGTGGCAATGCCAAGAGCCCCCTTCCCATAAAGCTTTTAAGAGTCTCTTCATGATGGCTGGAGGATTACACTGCAAGGAGAAAAGTCTATGCCATATGGAAAATACATCATAATCCGAAGTAAAATGCTGTTTGGATAAATATCATTAATACATACATTGCATTCCCATCACTATTGTCAGAGTAAATGTGCTTCACCAGCAATGCTCCGACTTTTATGGTGCCAGGGACAAGCCTGTGCTCAGGGCGAAGCGGGACGGCGGCTGTACTGGACTCTGTATCTGTTCACTGGCACCCCGTGGACGTTCACTGTCTCACACGTGGTCTTGCAGGGCACCATCTCCTCGTCCTCGTCTCCCATTAGCCAGTCTTGAACCACATCCACGGCCTCCATGGACACGTTCTCCTCCAGCCACCGGTTGTGCCACTCCTCAAACTGCTGGTGGTGCTTCAGCAGCACCACGGGCTGGACCTGAAAGCAGGACAGTAAAGGTCACACTGAGAGGTTTCTGGGGGAGAAGTCAAAGCTCTTGCCTCTCCATACAACTGAGATGTGCATGATTTGGACACAACACAAACAGGGAAACAGGAAACCACATACCTGTGTTCAATGCCTATTTCTAATGTTTGCCCTCAAAATTTGCATGGTAAAGAAAAGGCTCCTGAACTAATCCAAAATACAGAGCATTTACCAGCTCTCCTCCATGTCTCATCCAACACAGAACAGTAACTTCTGGGTGTAGTTTGCAGGAATTCAGCCACAAGACTTCTTATTGGTACCTGTCTTTTTGGCTCCCATCCTCAACCTACTACTGCCCGAGCTGCAGAGACAGTAAAAGGAGATGCACCTGCTTGGCTCGGCAGAGAGCTCCCCTCCTGTACATGTAATCCTCCGAGTTCATGATGAACATCATCTTGTGGGTGTTGAGTTTGAAGCGACAGTCCACGTTGCAGGCGCTTTCCACCCCGATGAGCCTCTTCCAGGAGCTCTTCACCTCGCTGCGCAGGGCCCTCACCTGCTTGCACTGCCACTTGCGAAACTTCTTCAGGTTTCTGGGACAAAACAAGGATGACAAAGCATGTGTCACACCTGGCCATCCCTTCCCCTAAGCTGGCAGAGCTCACAGCACAAGTATGAAGCTTGTATTTCCACATTTAGCTCTCTCCAGGATCTTCCTCCAATCTGTCCAATTTGTGTTTGCTGTGACAAATATTTAGTGAAATGGGAACAAAGCAGACCTCACATTCCTCCCAGAAAGGACTGCTGAGGCAGGTCCGCTCCATTCTAAACACAGTTGCATGAACAAACCTCGGTGCCGTGGTCATAAATTTCTTCCTCAGCATCCTCATGCAGTGCACTGGACTGCACCAATCCCTCTGGACCTCAGAGGTGAGGGCATTTCCCTGGGATTGCTGTATGGCACATTCCCCACACCCACTGCCACACAGGCAGAGAGGGAGCCGCACCAGTTGCTGCAGGTGTGGCTCAGAGGACTGAGCAGCTCACCTTTGCAGAAAGACCGGTTTCAGGAGGAAGCCATCATTCTGGTTGTTGGGAGCTCCTTCCACCCCAACGTACTGCTCCATGTAGTTGGCCAGGTGCTACACAAGGGAGACCAGTTCCAGTCAGATTTCACTTCACCAGGACAAACATCACTGCAAAGAACCTGTTTATTTCCAAGCTGTTTATTCTGAGGCTGATTTATGTTGAAACTCTTTTGCTCTCAGACCATTTCTCTCCATGACCACAACCCCACATCATCATCCCACCTCCCAGGTAAACTTGTCCTCCTGGCAAAGTCTCACATTTTGGAACAAGAAATCAGGAAAGCACTCTTAGACATCTGCTTTGTCTGTGGTACACAGACTCCATGATCTCTGTGGTATTACCTGGACCTCCACAGGATCCTCTGTCTGGGTTTCTTCTGTATCCAGCAGCTCAATGGTCATGATCACCTGTCCTTTCCGCTGAAGAAACATGACCTGTAATGAAGTTACAGGCAGAAGATATTGGCCACATGGGTTCACAGTAAAATGCTATATATTCACAAGTCATTTGGACAACAAATATGAGCGAGGAGAGAAGCAGTGGGGCTTCTCAGTGAGCCAGTCTGTCCCCTCACTGTCTATGCTCTGGTTTTGGTACCTTCTCTCCACATTGCTCTCTCTCCCTATCGTGGGAAGCTTCCAAACCCATTTCTCTCAGGTAAAGTGCCACAAGTCACTTTATGAAGTTCCCTGGCAGCAAGTCCTTACCTTGAAACAGTTCTCATCTGCCATGCACCGTTCAGCCTTCCACTGATAGCTGGTCTCCTTTGCTGCCCGCACACACCTGGATGATAAGTTACCTCCAGCAGCTCCTCGCTTCCTCTCATTCAAGTAGAGCTCAACCACCTTCAAGCAGATGTCATCGCTCACAAGATGGTGAAGCTTCCATTAAAAAAGGGGGATTTCAGTCAGCAAGCCTGGGGCAAGAGTCAACTCTAGTGTGTTATGAAAGGAGCATCAAAGTCAGCACAGCATCACACCTCAGCTGAAGCAGCCAAGTTTAACTCCAGAGACTTCCCACATTTCTCTGTCTTTTTCATGATTTTGTAATAAAAGGAACAGAGAACAATGAGAGGCTGTTGTGCCTTACCTGTAATGCAACTACAACTGGAAGATTTGACTAAGAAAGACTGAACTGGTTTTGTTTTGCCTTAGATATATTTTGGGAATGGCAGAATTTTGAAATGATTGGAACTCAAAAAATGTTTGGATCACAGAATCACAGAATATGCTGAGTTGGAAGGGACCCACAAGGATCATCAAATCCAACCCTTAGCCCTGCACAGGACCATCCCCAAGAATCACACCATGTGACTGAGAGCATTGTCCAAACTCTTCTTGAGCTCTGTCAGGCTTGGTGCTGTGACCACTGCCCTGGGGAGCCTGTTCCAGGAAAAGGCCAGGAAGAGTAAATCCTCTAAGGTGGGGAAGCTGAAGTCTCTCACTAAACTTCTGCTGGGGCGTTTCCCCATCATATATAACTTTTTAATAATTAATTTTCTCTAAGTTTAGTGACACTGTGAGAAAGCTGTCTGTACAGAGGGGTGATGTGCAGCCCCACAGACACCACGGGTCCCTCACCTGGCGGACGATGTTCTGCACCAGCTTGTCCATAGTGAAGCCGATGTAGGCGTGGATGGTGAACATCTCCCTCAGCGTGTCCTCGTACTGCGTCGGGTCGATGTTCCCATCCAGCAGACTCCTCACCATATCCAGGAAGGCAGGGTAGTACTCCTCCAGTTCCACCTCACCTGGGCAGGGGAAAGTGCAAGCATTTAATGCATGGAAGAGGCAGAGTGAAGTTAAGAGATCCAAGGGACAGCACTGCTCAAGAACCATGATGTTCAGTGTGAGAACATCCTCACAGACAGGCAGTTCTCTGTGCCCTGACAGACTGGAACAGTTTCTCTCATGCACTTCCAGGACTGCCTTGTGCAATAACTATTTCTTTGTGGCACCATTTACATTTTAAATCAATGTATCAGATTAATATGAGACACTTGAGAACACCTCAGCACAGTGAAGTCTCTGTGAACTACACATGAGAGCCCTCAAAAGATAAATGGGACTGGCTGCCCTGTTAAATGAGCTGTGTCCACAAATCACAAATACAGCAGGGGTTTGCACCTCTACACCCCTCACAGACCTGCCTGCTGGTCCCAGTTACTCAGATATACACAACTGGAGCACTGGCAACCAGAGCATTAAGAGTGGACTATGTCCTGGATTATTCTTACTTGGTTGCTTCAGCCTTAGCTCCATGGCTGGATCATTGGTCTTCTCTTTTCTTCCCTCACAGAGGAGTTTCTCTCTCTCTTTCTCAGTCCTGTATTCCAGAAGCTGCTTCTGAGCTTGACGATAAATCTTTAGGAGCCTCGAGCACAGAGTCTGGTGAAGGCGGAGGAAGAAATACCAATTATTGTTGACAAAGAAGAGGCTGTAAACATCATCCAGAGTGTTGTGGGGCTCAGCAGCTGTAACATCACAGAAGGTTGCTTTGGTCTCCAAAGGACTGCTTGGCGGCCCAGGCACATGTTTTTTCCGTAGCTCAGGAGCATCCAGGTTCTGCCCCTGGTGGTTTTCTCTGTCCTCGTCCGTCGATTCTTCAGAAATGTTGTGCTCAGGGGGCTGGGAGAAGAACAGCTCAGGAATGAAGTGATGCACAATCTGCCTGATGGTTGCCTGATCCTCCTTTTGGATGGTAGGCTGCCTCTTTACATAATAGCTGATCAGAGCTGCTGCATCTTCCAAAATCTGCTTATCTTCGTAGACAAAGATAAGATGAGGCTCGTTTGTGGATGAACTTCTCCCCTCTGAATGCTGCTCCTGATGCTGTAATCAAGAGACAAATAGATAAAGATCCTTCCAATCCATGCTCAAGAGCCATTCCTGCCAGAAGAAATAAGCCAGTATTAACACTGAGCTTGGGACAGTTGTTTTTGACTGAGAACTCTCAGAGCACAACCACTTCCACATGGTCCCAGGTGCTATATACAGGTCTAGGTCACACTATAAGTGCAGGACACAGAGGGTGGGTTATTTAGCGTCATACACACCTCATCATAGACACTCTCAATTTCATTCAGCAAGCTCTTGGAGCGCAAGGCTTTGGTGTCATTCTGTTTGAAGTTGACAGCCTGGTGGTCCAGGGATTTCAAATAGGCCTTCTCATACTGCTCCCTCCAAATCTTGTTGAAGCCCTGCTGGGCCTCCCTCCATTCCTCCTCTTTTGCTTTCAATCTGCAAAATGTACAGTGTACTTCAGTTCACAAAGGCAACTGTGATGCACCAGAAAGTTTTCAATATTCCTGGAAGTCAGAAATCAATTCAAAAAAGCATCACCAGTGATGGCGAGTTATGCTTTGAAACAACACCTACAGAAAACAGTTCACAGAATCACAGGAGCACTAAGGTTGGAAAAGACCTCTGGGATCATCAAGTCCAACCTGTGACCAATCCCCACCTTGTCACCCAGCCCAGAGCACTGAGTGCCACACTCAGGTGTTTCTTGAACACCTTCAGGGATGGTGACTCCACCACCTCCCTGGGCAGCTCTTCCCATGTTTAACAACCCTTTCTGTGAAGAAATTCCTCCTGATGTTCAACCAGAACTTCCAGTGGCACAGTTTGAGGTTATGTCCTCTCATCCTGTCACTAGTTGTTTAAAAATGCTTTTAAAATTCTTTAAAGATACACAGGAGAATTGGAATTACCTCTTAAGAACAACAGGAACTGCAGTAACTGGGTTTTTCTTGAGACTCTCAATGATTTCTGGTGCTTTGTCCCCATAGATGCGATATATGGCCCGGCGCTGGATCACCTCCGATGTCCCTCCCAGGCAATCATCCAGGCGGAATTTCTCCTGATCCTCTTGGGTCAGCCGTGACAGTTTCTTCTGCACACTCTCCAGCACGCGAATTGTGGCTAAATTGGTCTCCAGGACAACATCCAACTGTTGAGAGTTCACAAAACAACACAGTGTCAGAACAGGCAGAGCAGGAACAGGCTGAACAGCAGCCAGGGTTTGTGGCAGCCATTCCGGCCCCACCGGGTGGAGCCAGGAAGCATCAGCAAGGTTTGTACTGGAAAACAGACCTCTGCCAGTTCTCCCAAAGGTAACATGCAATTTAAAACTGGACTCATGCCTAGGAAGAGCTCTTAGACTCCAAGCAAGTGAAACACACCAAACTCGAGCTCAAACCAACGAACATCAACAGAACTTTCAGGAACTGGGCACCAATTAATACAGGGAAATCCTCGTGGCCGGAGGTTTTGCTTTCTGAGGAGGCAGAAGGGGAGCTCAGCAGCAGAGGTACCTCGAACCGTTCATCCTCACAGCGGTGCAGCTGCTCCTCATACGGAGTCTTCTTGGAGCTGACAAAAGTGGAGTCTTCAGACCAGGATGGAAACGAAACCCAGGTATCATTTAATACCTGCAACAGTGCAAAGACATGATGTGGAGCAATTGTGAGCCCAGAGCTGTTCTCATGGGCTCTGATACTTCTCTCTTTTCTTTTTGCACACTTCTTCCCTGAGTTTCTGCAGGACATTCCACACCTAATTCCCAAGGCACTGACTGCTCCCAGATTAGAAGTCTCTGTGGAACTGTGCCAGGGCCCTGCTCAGAAAACTTGAAGGCACCTTCTCTATCACCTCACACACACAGAGATCACCCTGCAGTCACCAACAGCTGTAAGTAAAGGAGATAGTTGGGAGGAGTGGGAGCATCCACACTGCAGATTTGTGTTCTCAGTGGGAATGGTGCCTCAGGCACTGTCTCAGTGCTCTCCCAGGAGAAAAACTGTTTCCAAAGGTCATACTGACTCTCTGCTGGAAAATTAATTCCAGGATATTTAATATTCTTTTCTGTCTAAAAGAATAAATTTGCGTCTGCACACAGACTGAAAAGTATTAAAGATGTGATCTGAGATGGGTTTAGATAAAATTAGTAAAATGTGGATACTATTTAAATAAATTAGCTGAATAATTGACACAAGACTAAAGCTGGTGACTCAGCACTGAAGAAGGGATTCCACATGCAGAAGCTGCAGCACTTAATTTATGTGAGTGCAATGTGTGTTCAGGGGTTGAACAGGCTGATCCCAAAGTACCTCCTTGCAAATGGCTGTCCTTCCACTGCACTTTGGCTGCTGGTAGGTTTTTGGGAGAGCCCTGTAACTGGATCCGATGCGCTTGCAGGATGCATAATCGATTTCCCGGCTCATTCCATCCCCAGATCGGTCACTCAGTGGAGAAGCAAAGGAAAGCTCTTTCACACCAAGGAAGGACTTGAACTGTGCAAAGAGCTCTGGGAATTTCCTTCAAAAACACAAGTATATTGTTATTTCACTCTGACAGTTTCAGGGTGCTTAATGTGTGTCATAAAACAGAGAGAGAAATATCTAAACAAACTCAGCACTGCAGTGAGAGATCTTTCACCAACATTTTAGCACTGTCATCTTTCTCTCTGAACTACTTTAGGGTCTTTTTTAACTTAAAGCAGGAAAATAATTTCCCTTCACTACTACTGCCTGAGGACAAACTGATCCTTGCCACAAGACTCTCCCTCTTCTGTTGGAAGCCAAACAGCTTGGGAGGCTCACAGCAGAGCTAGAACTATTTATCCTTTACACAGTTCTGTACTCAGATTTCATGTTTATACCTTTATTACATTTTGAGATAGTAAACAGAGAGTGTGAACAGATAGAGGAAAATATCTTCCTCAAAATGCTCTTTAAGAGCTGTGTAGATATGTCTAAAGCTTCAAATTTTATTACTCCTCTTCTTGGATTCTTCAACCAAGGAGATACTTCTGAAGTTAAATTGAAAACTTCAGTAACAAAATTCCAAATGTGTCCAAAAAGTAACAAGTAGGACCTACAAAGTATGACACAGAAGAGATAGTTGGTAACTTACCCTAAAAATGGTGTAACAAGCTGGAGCAACTCAGAGCCAGAAACCAACTCCTGGTTGAAAAGAGCGATGCAACGGAGGAAATTTTCATAGACCTCCTGACTCTTGAGCACCCTGCGAACCTACAACAGTTTGGAAAGAAAGGATCACATCACTTGAATGCCACTTGTATTTAGTTCATGTCTAAGTCATCTGAACCATGGATGCAGTGATCAACTTGTCTGCTCTGCAACGCAAAAACGGAATATGCACAAACATGTCCAATTTCAAACAATAATCTAATTACTACAGATGGTACCATGAGGAAATATCACTGAAAAACAGAGAAAAACACATCTGTAAGGGACAAGCATGCAGGAAAAGGTTAATTAAAATGTTCCATTTATCTTCCAAACATACCTGTTCTCACTCTTCTTGATCTATCTTTCCCCACTACTTTAAAAGTCAGCAAATTGCTAAGTGCTGACACACAAACTGCATAGAAAACCAGCCAATTAATAACCACATAAAAGGATGAAGATGAGACCACAGAATGTGAGAACAAAACCTGACCTTGTCAAAGAAGGAAAACTCCTGCAGCGTTCCATATTTCCCCACTGTTGCCACTGACAGATCTTTGGTACCTCGCAGCTTCATTTTCTTCTGTTAAAAGAACAAGCAGTTATATTTAACATGCTGTGGCTCAAATGCCAGCAAATTCCACTTTAGCGACATCAAACAGCTCCCTGCAAAGACTGAGACCCCGTATTTCCCCAAGAGTGATCTGGAATTGCTGCGTCAAGCCCTTACAGCAATCTCTGTCAAATGTCTCCCAGCTAAGGAGAAACAACAAGAAAAAGGAATCACTTGAGAGAGAATTCCAAAGAAAGATTTTTTTTCCAGAAGCAACAAATTTTCCCTTTCCAGAGTCAATACTTAGTACAGAAAGTCTTGATATTTAGCATCCAACATGCTGTCACACACATTTAAGCATACTTTAAAAAGTCTCTTTTTCTACAGCAATTATTATTTTAAAAATAACTTTGAAATTTTGTATCTCATATCTAACACCCACATACCTGAAAGACACTACTCATTACATCTTTATCTAAGAAATTATCCAAACACAACAAGTAATATGAGGTTATTCTAAGATACCTTTGCTGGGCCAGAAACAGGACGCAGCAGCAATGGTCTGGATCGCTTTTTGCTGTGCTCCAGATTCTTCTCATGCTCAGTCTTCTGGACACTGTTCACTTCACATGGTCCATTTCCTGTGAACTGCAGTAAATAAATAATGACTTCAAGGTTCTCTTCCCAACTGGCATAAATAAAGAATCCTAACAGGACACAGAGAGTGTGGTTAAGTCACCTGTTTGGAGAAATCCCAAAGAAGAGAAGCAAAGTTCATTACTGGCTGTATGATTTTCCATAATGTTTTGCATATTCTACATACAGAGAGCATTCAATATTCTGCCTTGCCCTCAGCACACACATACCAAAGACCTTTTTGCCTCTGGGAGGAACTGTCCAAACTCAGAGAGCAGATCCTCCTGTCCCCGGAACAGATTGGCCACTTCAGTAAACACCTCCTCCTCGGACATGCCTCGAAAGGGTCGGCCCTTGGTGTTCAGCTGCTCTTTCTGAAAACATACACATAGATGTTAAATAGAGTCAAAAAGTGCCTCGCTCTGACAGAAAACTTGTCTTGTGCCAAAAATGTTCAAGTTGCTACGCAACTTGAAATGACCACCTGCCAGCCCCAGGTTCTTACAGTGTCTCCTTTCACACACAGTATCACTAAATCCACTGAGAGTTAGTAAACACAGATCTGGATACAACCCATTTACACCTCAGTCACTGCAAAGTGCCACAATTTTCACATTTTTGCCATTTCATGTGAATATCTATGAGATAGTTGCTGGATAATGACCAGTTCCTGGGAACTCTGTAGCCTGTTCAACAGGCAGAGATTAAATGTGACAACTACTACTCCAACACCTACAATGCAAACCCACTGTCCCTCCCATGGAACACTTTTTACCTGGTAAGTGTGAAGAATTTCTAGAAAGGATCTGTAAATTTCTGGATGGTCAAGGAAGCGTGTTTTGATCTTATTCACATAACTGATGGCATTGTTGAACTCTACAGAATCAGATTCCAGGGGAATTTGGGATTTATCTTCTTTGTATGGAAGCTGTTGCCTGAACTCCTCTGAGCAGTCACTGTGATTGTGTGAGTTCTCCTGGGAGTAGTGCAACAACATCCCACTGCCAGGGAACGCACCGGGAACAGGCTCTGGGGGCACCTGGAGTCAGACAAGACAAGACACCCAAGAGAGAGACTTGTCAGAAAAGGAACACAACACAAGTGCAAGTTCAACAACAACTCAGCATCACTGCTGCCAAGCTGTTTAACTAAAGCATATTACCACCTGAAGAAGAAAGCGAAAAGAATTCATTAGCCAATCATTTCCCTATCTAGTTTATTAACTCCATCCGTGAATATGTGAACGTCTGTGAGGCAGTTGTTGGGCAAAGACTAGTCCTTGGGAACTCTGTGGCCTGTACAACAGGCAGACATTAAATTTGACAACAACTGCTCCCAACAGCTACAGTGCAAGCCTACTGTCCCTTTAAAAGGAGGCAGAAAAATACCTCACTGTAGAAAATTCATCCTCACCAAGGTGCACGCAACTTGCAATGACCATCAGCCCAGGTTCTTACAGAACTTCCTTTCACATCTCCTTTCATTTTGAATAAATGATTCATTAGCCAATCAATTTCCCTACCCAGTTTAACTCCATCACCTAAAAAAGTCCCCTAAATCCTACCTGGTGTAGGAACCATTGACTTGTGACTGTCACGGTGTTCTTGGCCTCACCTGAGATGCTGCAACAACACCACCCACTGCAGCTGCTGCTCCCACTGGTTATTGCACAGGAACTGCCCCTTTTAAGAATATTAAACTTAAGGCTCTTACAGATGGTAATTTCTAAGCAACAGAGAGATCTGAGGGAACTGAGATCTGAAGGATAGTTCCTGCTACTAACTGGAGTTAAAGCACAAGTTTATCAGGAGAATTCACTTTATGGCTCTATTTCAGCCTCCATAACCACACAACAGGAACACAAAACAAGCAGATGCAACATCCATCTGTATCCCAGCAGTTTTGTTTCACTGCAGGATGTTACCAACTGCAGGTCTACATGGACTCCAGGACCTTAAAGACCTTTTCCAACCTGAACAATTTGATGATTTTACGACTCTGTGTATTTTTGCCTATCGCCTAAACAAGTTTCTCAGTGGAAGAATGGAAATGCAATTCTTCCAGGATCCCTTCTTGAAATGTGCCACTGCCCACACCACGTAACGAGAACCTGTATAACTATGTAAGGCCAATTACAACTTCAGTTTTCAAATCTGAAGTATTTGGAGTTGAAGTGGTGTTTCAGGCAGGATCATCATTCCCTTGTAAGCTAAACAGTGGCTTGAGAATAAACTGAGAGTTGGGACCGGGTGATCTTTAAGGTCCCTTCCAACCCAAAATATTCTATTATTCCTTGAATAAATATTTAAATTTACATTAGAACCATTATCATAGGTTTGACAACCATCTAAAAACTTCAGCAACATGCACTACACATAAATCTCCACAGTCTAAATCTCCAGGCAGGAGATGTGTCCAGCAACACACAGAACAGAGTTTATTTAGAGACTATGACCTACCTGACTATTCAAAGGTGACTGTATACTCAACTTCCCATTCTTTGGAATTTCTATCCTGTAGCCCAGAGGGAGAAATGCATTGAATCCTACAATGAGGTCAGGGTGCTCATGGAAAAGCTGAGAAACACGACGGATGACTCCAGGTGTGTCAATGCTAAAATTGAGAAGGGTCTGTTACTTGTATCAGAATGAGAAACACATCTTAAACCTAGAAAATGCCAGAGGAAGTGAAGCATCTGGCTCCTCAGGGATGAAATTTTTAAGAAGTTTGGGAAATTAGCCCAAGCAGAGGGAATGACCAGCCTCACATCGGGAATGTTATTCAGAGAGGAGAGAGGTGAGTGTGCAGGTTGCTGAAGGGGCAAGACACCCACACCCTGCAGGGCTGGCAGGTCACAGGTTCTATGTTCAAGTAGCTTCACTTATTTTCAAGATCTGCATTTCAGAGTGGGAAATAAAAATAGATTTGCCTTTTCCTGTGGATTTCATCTCTGGGAAGTGATGGGATGGGCAGAGGCCCTCCCCCTCCATGTGACTGCAGCACTGGGGGACAGGGCAGTGGGGCAGAGGGGCAATGATGGTGTGAAGGCTGGGGGACCCTGCACAGGCAGAGAGACCCCACAAAGGCTGAGGTCTGAGACCTGAGGGAATGGCTGGAGTTGTGTCAGAGAGGTTTGGGATGGATCTCAGGAAAAGGATCTCAGGTGGTGGGGCACTGAACAGGCTCCCCAGGGCAGTGGGCATGGCCCCAAGGCTGCCAGAGCTCAAGGAGTGTTTGGACAACACTCTGAGGGACAGGGTGGGATTGTTGGGGTGTCTGGGCAGGGCCAGGAGTTGAACTGGATGGTCCTTGTGGGTCCCTTCCAACTCAGGATATTCCACAGTTCCATGAAAGGCTGAGGAGCTCCCCAGAGCACCCTGGGATTTACCTCTGGCTCTTGAACTCCTTCATGATCTCCAGGAAGCCGTTGTACGTGGCAGGGTCGCTGCCGAATCGGATCTTCACCTGGTCCAGGTAGGAAAGTGCATCCTCTACCTGCAGGGTGAGAACAGGGATGAGGAACAGTCCCCGGGGCCCCCCATGGCCCCGGAATTGGGGAGGGGGCTCCTCAAGGCACTGCGGTAGGTGGGACCTGCCCCCGGGGGAGCCCCCACAGCCCCGGGGAACGGGAGGGGCACAAGGTACCAGGTGAGGGGGCTCCGAGGAGGGCCGGCCCCGCTGGGCACCCAGTGGGCTTCCTAGTGCTGGGGGGGATAGCAAGGCACGGAGGGGGGGACACGGCACCGGGGAGCCGGGAACAGGTCCCGAGGGAGAATAATCGCGGTACCAGAAGGGCTGGGCAGGGGGCACGGCACAGGGGAGGGAGAACAGGCCCGGGGGGCCGCGCGGTACCGGGGGAGGGGGACGCGGCCCCAGGGGATCCCACGGAACCAGGGGAGGACAGCGGGGGGAGGACATGCCCAGGGGACCCCCCACGCTACCTGCGTTGGGGGGTACAAGCCCCGGGGGGGCGAGTGCAGCACCGCGGCCAGGGCCGGGCAGGTCAGGGCGGGGCGGGCGAAAGCGGTGGGGACCGGCCCTTCGCGGGATAGGATGGGGAGGGGGAGGGGGGTGGGCAAGGGTCATTCGCGCCCGGCGGGGCGGCCCTGCACTCACGTGCACCGGCAGCTTCTCGTGCGGCGCGGCCCGGCCGCCGCCACCGCCCCATCGCGGGGCGCTGCCTCCGCCGGCCCCGCGGCCGCCGCCACCGCCCCCCGCCGCCATGTTGGATCGGGCGGCCGAACGCGACCCCGCCGCCGGCGCTGCGTCAGCGCGCACGGGCACGCCCACGGCGGGCCACGGCCCACCCACAGGCCACGCCCCCGACAGGACCCGCCCTCCAATCGGCTCCACCCCGCTGGGCCGCGCCCTCGGTCAGGCCACGCCCTCCCGGCCGTTCTAGCGTCGTGGCGGGAGCGGCGCTTGAGGGGGACAGGGGTTTCTGAGGGTATACGGGGGAGCCGGGATGGAGGAGATGTGGGTCTGAGGGGACCGGGATGGAGAAGCCTCGGGACTGAGGGGACAGGGGAGCCGGGATGGAGGAGCCGCGGGTCGAGAGGAGCCCGGGGGTCTAAGGCGACCGGGGAAGACGGGCAGCAGCGGGAGGAAGGCGCTGCGGGTCTGAGGGAACCCGGGGGACTAAAAGGGACACAGGGAGCCGGGATGGAGGAGCTGCGGGTCTGAGGGGACGGGGGAGCCGGGGCAGGTGGGATGGAAGAGCCCGGGCGTCTAAGGGAGCGCTGGGGGCTGAGGAGACCGGGTGAGCCGGGATGGAGGAGTTGTGGGTCTGGAGGGGCTGGGGAAGCTGGGATGGAGGAGGCCGGGAGGCTGAGGGAGCCCGGGAGGACTGGAGGTGCCGCCGGGGCTGGAGCAGGCGGGCGGCAGCGGGATGGAGGGGCTGGGGCTGGAACCGCGGGGCTGGAGGAGTCCAGTGGCGCTGAGGGAGCTGGGGAGGCCGGGACTGGAGGCGCCGGGGGGGAACTGGAGGATCTCGGAGGGGCTGAGGAAGGCCGGGGTTGGAGGAGCCCGGGGGAGGCTGGGGTAGTCCTGTGGGGCTGGAGGGGCCGGGGCTGGGGGAGCTGGTCTGGGGAAGCCCGGAGGGCTTAAAGGAGCCAGGGGTGGAGCAGCCCCGAGGATCCGGGACTGGGGGAGGCCATCAGTGGTTCGCACTGAGCTCCAGGGTTGCTCTAGGGTAGCTGGATAAAATGTGGGGTTAGGGTCGTTGGGCGGCTTTTTTTGTGGTTTTTTGTTTGTTTTGATGGTTTTGTTTTTTTCCTTATTTGCCTTTCTCACGGGTTTGGCTATGGTAGGTGATAGCAGCAGAAACACCTTTCAGAAGAGACGTGGGCTGAAAATTGCATTAGATTGTTATGCTGGTAAGTACAGGTTGAAGTAAAGATGCTTTAGAGCATTCACTGGTTATTCAATGCTTAATAATAAAGGAAATAAATAAAATTTTTTACAAGAGCAATCCTGGAAGAAGCATGAGAGGTATCACAAAATACAGCTCTTGGCTGGTGAAGCACCCTGTAACTGTGCAGGAAAGAGAGCACGGTGTGACTGTACAAAAGCCCTTTATTCCACCTTTTGGAAGGAGTAGCTCAGACATATCCTTGGAGTACTGTCAGGTGAAAGAGTAACAGCATTGATCCAACCTCCTCCACTACTTTCTTTTTTTCCTACTAGATTCTCCTGAGGTGGCCCAATTTCTGTCTTTTACTGCTATTATTAACTTGAGAAGTCTCATTCTCTTCCCTAATTTGTGAAATGAGCAGAATCAGCTGCAGACAAATAACTCCTGTGACTTCTGTTTTCTGTCAGAGTGGGGTTAACAGCCCTCAGTCACTGACAGCATCAACACCTTTGTTATAAGTAAATGAAACTAGGCTGAAATGTAGCAGTAAAAATTTATTAAAGATTTATATAAAATGCAAATAAGCAAAACGGCACGCTGGGCGGCCGGGGAGACCCCTGCTCCACTCACGGCACTCAAATGCAGGGGGCAAAACCAGTAACTTTTATACCTTTATCAATTCCCTTCCCACAGTCACTTGTTATTCCTCTATTGGATCTGAGTTTTGCAGGTCTGAGTCTGGTTGGTTCTTTTGCAGGCCTACTTCAGTCGCCAGGTGCTTTTCCTCTCTATAGTTTTAATTAGTCCTTCGTCCTTGAGGCCTAGTGTGTAGGCATTTCCAGATGTTCATCCTGGATTTTCTTTATCGTTCTCGTACTTGACCCTTTGATCCTTGTCCTTCCCTTCGTTACTTTATGCGTACACTTTTAGATAATATACTTTTAGAAAAACAAGATACAAAATACTTATTCAGCAAGGCACAGTAATTCATCTTGTCAGCTTGAGAACTACAAGCTGCAGGACTATCAGCTTATAATGTTGACAGATTCATTAACCATTCTGCAGCTTACAGTCTCCCAGCCTTAACAGAACATTGATTACAATAACATATATATATATATAGGAATATAACGTGCAATACAATTTAATGAGTAAATTACTTTACTACTACTAATTTATTACACCTTGATAGTTGTCATAGGTTTACTTGTTCTAAAAAAACAGGCAGGGAATTTTTCTTTCCCCTGTGTTGCTGTAAGGGGGGGATGTTGAAAGGGGGAGGGTAGTTTTCGCCTTGGGTGATTGACCCACACCAAAGAACTAACCAGCAGATCCACATTCCAAGCTGATGGCCCTCTGAAGACTGTGGGGAGAGGTGATGAGTTTTTTTCCCTCTCCTCGGAAATGGGAGGCACTTCACTTTTGCTCTGACTGTACGGAGGGTGTGTGTTGGAGGGGTCCGAGGTTCACTTTGGTTTTGACCCGGTCATCTGGATTGTTTTCTGGCCCCGGTGTGCCTCTGTTTTCCTGGGCCCTGTTCTGCCCCAGCCCAGATCTGCTCGGATTTCATCGGAGAGGCTTGACCCACCTGCAGAGGAACCTTTTTGGGAGGAGGTTGCCCTTTCCCTCTTCCATTTCCGTGTTGGCAGCGGCGTATGTCCATCGATGAAAGGGGGGAAATCCTGGCCTCATCCAGATGCAAACAGGGTGAGTTTCAGGGGAAAAGCCCCCTTTTTCCCCTTTTCCCCTTTTCCCCTTCCCCTTCTCTGTGGGGGGGGGAAGGCCTCCATTTTCGGCTTCTCCCGCCGACCGGGGCCCAACAGCGCCCCCTGCTGGCCAACGCCGAGCACTGCAGGCTCCGCCCCTCCAGGGATCCAACAGCGCCCCCTGCTGACCGTTGTTAGAATTGCACCAAAAGGTGGAAAAGTACCGACCTATTTCCTTTTGAGGGGGATTTTTGGGTACAGGATTATTGGTTTGATCATTTTTTGTATTCTTTTGTTGTTCTGCCAATACACATATATCATTTAATAAAGGGCTGTTATTTTTCCTTTCTCCATACTTCCTCAATTAGAGCCTCTTAATTTCAGATTTACAATTGCTTAGAGGGAGGAGTTTGGTCTTCCTCATAACTCATCCTCCTTAGCAAAACACTTCAGTCTCATTAAACTGAGACAAGAGGATAGTCCATGACATCACAAAGGGGCCCATAGCACACAGGTTGGACGGCACTCTGACCTTGTGGGGTGTTGGTTCTTTGATTTCCAGGGCCCATTCCGGAATGGAGAGGATAGGCCATGACATCACAACGGGGCCCATGGCACATGGGTGTGGCTGCTCTCTGCGGGTGTGGGTTGTTGGTTCTTTGGTTTCCAAGGGCCATTACGAACGGAGACGATAGGCCGTGACATCACAAAGGGGCCGATGGCACATGGGTGGGGCTGCATTGTTGGGTGTGGGGCGTTGGCTCTTTGTTTTCCAGGGTCCATTCCCGAATGGAGAGGATAGTCCGTGACATCACAAAGGGGCCCATACTACAGAGGTAAGGCTGCAGTGTGGGGGAGTGGGATGTGTGTTCTTTGTATTCCAGGGGCCTTTTTGAATTGGAAAGGATAGGCCGTGACATCACAAAGAAGCCCATGGCACGTGGGCGGGGCTGCATTCTAACAATGTGGGGAGCTGGTTTTTGGGTTGCCAGGGGCTATTCCGGAATGGAGAGGATAGACCATTGCATCACAAAGGGGTGCAAGTTACATGGGGTGGGCTGCTCTGTGAGGTGCGAGGCGCTTGGACATTGGTTGCCAGGGGACATTCTTAAATGGAGAGGGTAGTCCGTTGAGAGATCCTGGATCCGAATCTCACTGAATTATTGATATGGGTCAGAACCAACTCACTGTGAGTGTGTGTGGGCATGTGAGGAAGGGCTGGGCCTAGACCTGCAGGAATGTTGTAAGGCCTTCACATAAGGCCTGCTGCCCATGCAGAGCACATGGCGCGGCTGAAGGCCCTGCAGCCGGCTGTCAGTCAAGGCAGAGCTGCCTTGTACCCAGCCCACACCACACCCCTGCAGCCTATGACTGGGTACAGCACAACTCACTCTGGCCTGCAGGGCCCTGCCCAGATATCCTGCTTGGGAGGGAAAACTGAACTCTATAAATAGACGAGACTCCACGAGGTCTCCCTCTTCTCTTTTCTCCCCCTCCAGCTGGCACCACATGAACCATCAAAACTTGTTGGTAACCATTTCTTTTTTCCTTTCCTCTCTCTCCTTCTCTCTTTCTTCTCTCTTTACCCCTTTCAAGCTGTTTTACAGATGGTAGACAGCTAAATTGCTGTGGTGAACTTGTCTGACATTTCTGGAAAAATTTGGGTGCTCCAGTAATCCATGGAACCCAATGGATCCTGGTTTTCATGGCTCGAAACAAAGACACGCACGTCTTCCTCTTAGCTGGGGTGCTAAAGTTTCACTCAGGGGTTTGGGGGGGTGAGATTTTTCCTTTATTAGTTGTTTTTTTTTTTCCACTTAACTCCTTTTAACCGATTAAAAACTTGTCCACGTGTCGTTTGGACAGGGAAGCAACAGAGGCCCTAAACGAAGGGAAGGATGTTACAGGATTCCTCTCTTCCAAATGTCGTCCTGGAAAGTTTTATGCTGTCCAAACAGCTGGACAAACTTTAGGAAAAAAAATACGTTTTTTTTTTTCATGGAGCACTGTGTAGGACACAACAGGAACTGGAGGAGCACAGCCTCTGGACACTGGGAAAAGTAGAAGGGATCTGGTGTGACTTCTTACTCACACATGTCCCTTATCCCTTTTTTTCATGGATTACCACCCTATGGCTAAACTGCAGTGCCCGTGTTGAGCTAAATGGTAATATTTTCCTTAGATGGTATATTCTGCAAGGCTCGATTCTTTCTGCGTTGTCTTTTCTCCTCAAGGGTGATCCTGGTGCTTTCTCAAAGCCATCAGCAGCGTTATAGATGGTGTGTCTCCAGGCCTCCTGATTGGAGGCCAGAGTAGACCAGTTATGGTGATCAATATGCCCGAGGCTGAGTTGTTGCTTCAGGGAGTCCTTGTATCTTCGGGGCTCCTCTCTTGCAGCAGCCAGTGGCAAGTTCACCATAAAGCAGGATCTTAGGGAGGCGGTGGTTGGTCCTTCATCCTGGAGACGTGCCCTGCCCATCGCAGCTGTGTTCTCAGTAGCATGGCCTCAATACTTGTGACTGCTGCTTGTTCTAGAACAGATGTATTGGTCACATAATCTGACCAGTGGATGTTTAGGATTGTACGGAGGCAGCGTTGATGGAAGTGTTTTAGGAGACGCAGGTGGTGGCGGTAGATGACCCATGATTCAGATCCGTATAAGAGAGTAGACAGCACTATAGCTCTGTTAACACTGATCTTTGTACTTTTCTTCAAGTGTTTATTATGCCATACTCTTTTATGGAGTTTTCCAAAAGCACTGTATGCCTTCGCTAACCTGTTGTCTATCTCCCCGTCAATCTCACCATCCCAGGAGATGAGGCTGCCTAGGGAATTAAACTGTTGGACTGATTTGAGCTCTGATTGGCTGATGGTGATGTGGGGATGATGGAGGACTTCCTGAGGTGCAGGTTGATGGAGAACTTCTGTCTTCTTTAAGCTGACTTCCAGCTCAAAGAGCTCAGCAGCATCTGCAAAGCAGGATGTTAAACGCTGCAGGGCTGCTTCTGTGTGGGCAACAAGGGCGGCGTCATCAGCGTGTATTAGGGAGGAGGAGGAAAGGTTCGAAGATATACGAGAACGTGTAGAAACTCGACGTAAGTGCTATTAAAGGTAACTGTTTATTACAAAAGAGGGGCAAATAGAGGGAAAAAACAGGCACCCAAATGAAAGGGACTAGAAGGGGGGAAAAAAGTGAGCAAAAGGAACCTGCAGAGGAAGGCGCGACACCCTACTCACTCAGGTGTCACCCATAAGACAGCTCTACCCATTAAAATTGCCCACAAGACTCCCAGCAGCAGCTGTGTCCTCCAAAGGAAAGGCAGGCTCCCACGTCCACCGTGTCCCCAATAGATGCGCTTGATCCCACGTGTAGAGCTGGCCCCAACCATGGAAAACCCGTCTGCTTTTTATTCCATTCGTTGAGCACACCTGCCCGGGGAGGCGTGCCCAGCACTGCCCCATCAGGGGGACCCAACCCCGCCCTCTTGGTTATATAATTGCACTTCTCCTGCGCATGCGTGAGGACTTTGGAAATCCCCTCACGCAGGCACAGTATGCCTTGGGGGTCTTTCTCAATTGAGTCTGGGGGCGAGCCTTCCTCCCCTCCTCATCACTTTGTCCTCCAACTGCCCTTGACGAGCAATTGACCAATCACAACAGACCAATTAAGATAGTTTACACTGAAGTTCTCCCTCCAAGGCCAAGCTCACTGCTTTATCAGAGCACTTGGCAGGAGAAAAACGTAAACTTCTGCAGGTGGCTAGGGCCAAACACAGACCAAAAAACAATAACACCCCAACTTCGTCCCAATACACAGCGTAAAGCAGCTCCCGGACAAGATGGTTTAGGGTCTTGGTGTGGGCCTTCAGTCGCCTTAGGTTGAATAGGCTTCCATCAGTACGGTATCGAATGTAGATACCGTCCTGATCATCGAGGTCTGCCGTGGCCCTTTGGAGCATCCTGCTGAAAAAGACTGTGAATAGGGTAGGAGCGAGAACGCAGCCTTGTTTCACACCATTCTTTATTAGAAAGGGCTCAGAAAGTGTGTTGCCATATCTGACTTGGATGTGCTGATCCTCATGAAGTGAGATGATCATTTTAAGGAACTTGGGAGTCAACCTAAACGTTCCAAAATCTGCCAAAGACCTTTTCTGCTCACAGTATCGAAAGCCTTGGTGAGGTCGACAAAGGCTACATAGAGACCTTTGTTCTGTTCCCTACACTTCTCTTGCAGTTGTCTGAGAACAAATATCATGTCTGTGGTGCTCCTGTTGGCTCTGAAGCCACACTGACTTTCAGGTAGAATTTCTTCTGCTATAGCGGGTATTAGTCTGTTCAGGAGTATTCTTGCCAGGATTTTGCCAGCAATGGAGAGTAGAGTAATACCACGGTAATTTGAGCAACCTGATTTAATTCCTTTCTTCTTATACAAGGTGATGATGATTACATCACGCAGGTCTGAAGGTAGTTCGCCTAGTTCCCAACAGCGCACCACAAACTCGTGAAATTTGGTATGGAGTGCTTGGCCCCCATGTTTCCAGACTTCGGGTGGAATTCCATCAACCCCAGCTGCCTTGCCGATTTTCACCTGCTGTACGGCCTTGAGGGTTTCTCCTAAAGTGGGGGCAGTATCCAATTCGTATTTCACCGGTTGTTGTGTGATGGACTGAATTGCTGAGTCTTGGACTACACGGTTGGTACTGAAAAGAGTCTGAAAGTATTCAGACCATCTGTTCAGAATGGAGGTTTGATCTGTCAGAAGCGTTTGACCATCTTGCACTGAGTAGTGGGCTTTGGACTCAGTATGTAGGCCCGTATGCTGTTTTCAGGGCCTCATAGAATCCTTTGTGATCCCCTGTATCTGCCCATAGTTGAGTTTTTGCAGCTAGATCGGTCCACCACCTGTTCTGGATGTCACGGAGTTTCTGTTGGAGCTTGCTGCATGCAAGACGAAAGGCTGTTTTTCTTGCGTGACAAGATGGCAGTGCAAGGTGTGCTTGGTGGGCAGTTCTCTTCTTCCTCAACAATTCCTGGATTTCTTGATTGTTTTCATCCAACCAGTCCTTGTTCTTCTTGAGGGAGAACCCTAAGGATTCTTCAGAGGATTGCAGGATGCTGCTTTTAATATGATGCCAAATTGTTTCAGGAGAGGAATGTGCAGAATCTGGAATGGTTTTCGAGCCTAGTTTGAAGGTTTGCCTGGAATCTTTCTCTTACTGTGGCTGATTGGAGATCGTTAACTTGG